GCTTGCGGTATACTGAGCTTAGGGTAACTGGAGGACGCTAGTTTGTGTCCTCCCGTTACTCTAAGGAGAACTATGGGGAAAAACACTGACCCCATAGTTCTCCTTTTAGCTGCACTTTTTATAAATTGTTTTTTTAAAGTTATGCCCATAGGACGTGCACAGCCTATTGCATTAGGGTGTGCACAGAAAAGCACAAACACACACGCATATGTGTGTATACGTATATATACACACATATACATACATATATATATATATATACATAAAGTACATGTGCTTGTAGAGGCATTATACTGCATACATCGTGCATACATACATACATACACAGACCTGAGGCATCCCTGTATTACCTCCTTACCTCTTCCAGCAGGGGTGCAGTAATGAAGCAGGGAGCCTGGCAGGTGGCCATGTGACCACCCGCCTGGCTTCCTGATTGGATGGGAAGCCACGGAAGCTGCAGCCACGCTCCCTAGCAGCTTCCCAGGCTCCGAGGACTGCGACGGTTACGTGAGGAATGTAATGGCAAGTGCGCTGCGCTCTGTATCGCTGAGCTGGTCAGGGAAAAATCTTTGTGATCTCTCCACCGGCTCAGTGACTAAAACATGTACACACTGGAAACATGTAAAACACTGGGAACATGAAAACATATAAAGTAGGTTACATCCCAATGTGGCTGCAAAAGAGGAAATACACTTTAAGGTAGTCTGTTCGATCAAATGGGATGCTAGCACACCAGAATAGACAAACAAATGAATCAGTACTACTTTTCCCTATGCACTGCAGTGCACCACAACACACAATAGTGCGCAATCGTGCATTACTATACATTGCGGTGCACTGCAACACAGGTTCATTGGGGGTCACTGTAATTGGCACGGTCAAGTTGAATGGCACCACAGCACACCAACATGTGTAAGCAATGGTGTAAAGCTGGCCTTAGTGGGGTTTCTTTTTTATTTACGGTAACTGTAAACTGATATTTGTGTACAGTTCAGTATATGCTGTTCCTGCATGCCTGACGTACCCAAAAACATTAATAATTCCATTTTTATTTTAGTATTGCCACCACAGAGCTGGTATACTTCTCTGAATGCTGAAGCATGTGCTGCTAAGAAAATGCACACTCTTATAGTTGTGCGCATCTCTTTGTACATCGCACAGGTATAGTAAATCCTGCGAGTGTATGCCAGGTATGCAGAAACATCAACACAACATCAATACAACAGTAGCAGCAAATTAGACCTAATGTCTTTGCATATTCGTGACACACGGTGCAGAACGTCTCTAAATTACACGATCCTCAGAAACTCTAAACTGGTGTGAAAGAATAACATTTCCCCTACATAACTGTAACACCGCTTGCTGCAAATTAAATATAATTATATTTTTAAATAAGTATAACTATGAATAATAGCTTTAATTACGTGTTCAAAATAGTATATGACAAATTAATCATTAACTGCAAATAAAAGTTTTTCAAAAGGAAATAGAAAGTCACAAAAGCAAAAATATGGATCACCAGCAACATCTATTCACGTCCACACGTCACAATTAAATAAGAAAATGTAATTATAACTTGTTGTTTATTATTTATGTAAGGCTTACTCTTTATCCATCATGTGTACACTTCCATTAAATATGAAGCATAGCAGATCACTGTACTGTCTAGTCTGGGAAGATTACTATCCTCTAAATAGAGCTGATCTACCATTGGAGTCATTCACACCCTAGCCTGTGTTCACTTAAAACTCCCAACCAGGTTTAGGGATGGGCTCGATGTTCGAGTCAAGCAAGGTTTAGGAATGGACTCGAACATTGGCAGTTTGTGTGTTCGGCAAACACATGAACTATCAAGGCATTCGGTGGGCTATTCGCCCACTGAACGCCCCACAAGGCGCTGTGCACCACACAGTGCCTTATGAGCCCTGATTGGCTAAAACCTTGCACCTGAGCATAGGTCAGGTGCAAGACTTTGCCTAATCAGGGCACAGTACTCTGTAAGAGCCATGATTGGAGCCATGATTGGGCAAAGTAATTATGACTTTGCCCAATCATGGCCCACCTGTCAGATGCTGTACAACTGTAAACAGTTTAGCGGAGCTAGCTAGCTGTCACTGCTAGCTCCACCCAATTGTTTATATTTTGCCGGCATCTGTCAGAATGGCATTCTGTGGCGTGAGTTCGTCGCGAGTGGATGGGTCGGCAGTCGTTGTTTTTTTTAATTATTTCTATTTATTTTTTCTTGTTTTTTTTTTTAATTTCGTTGAGTCGTCGTCGTCGTGGACAATGCTGGACATCGTGATTGATGCTGGATTATGTCGGTGGATCAATTTTTAGGTTTTTAATTTTTTTTTTAATAAAAGACTTTTCAAAAACAAGCCTTCTATTTTTTTTTTCAATAAAAGGATTTTTTCAAAAGTCTGGCCTCTTTTTTTACAATTTAATTTAACCCTTTAGTGAATGGGTAGGGGTACAGGTACCCCTTACTCATTCACAAGGGGGGGGGGGGGGTCCCATCTGGATGCCTCTTTATTTAAAGGGGTACCCTGATGTGAATATGCCCCCTGCCCGCACCCCCGCAACCAACGCCCCAGGGCTTGTGGGGAAGAGGCTCTTGTCCCCATTGCCATGGGGACAAGGTGCTTTTCCAGGGGCAACCCTGGAAAAGCACCCTCCCAGTGCCTCCCCAATTAGTTCATCAGAACTGTCCACATCTGACCCAAACTTAGATCACATCCCTAATCATCTCCTAACAGATCATATTATAGAACAATTTAACATTGCATCTTATCATTGCTTTTGCACTGCCTTGTTTTATAAGCTTAGTAATCAGTGGGGGTCCCATTTTAATAAAGGTTGGAACATAAGTGACTTAGAAGTTTCTAAATATGATAGCATGCAAACATATCTAGCCTGCAGCATGGATGTGTTAATTGTGAGCATCCCTATATTCATCCCTTGGGATCTATAACCTGCCTGGAGTTTTCTACAGTACGCTGCCTTTCAGCTCTACATGGCATTGTATCAGGCTCTAGTGCTGTGCTTATTTTACAGTAAGTCTATGAAATGCCATGAATGATGTACTATACAACATTTACACAATTATTACAAACATCTGAGTTTGCAGGATTCTAGTTTACTATAATTCTGTGTTTTGCATCCTGGCAAATCTGATCTTTGAAAGACAGCAGCGAAATAATCCACTATAGTACAGTATACTGGGTGGTATATTTATTATACATTTTCCAATCTTATATACATATATTATATTTGTAAACAGTGCTAACATATTCTGAAGCACTGTACAGAGAACATTCAATCATATTTATTTCTTACAATCCAACATCCCTAAAAAATACACAGTCCTTTCTTCACACACAATAGGGTCAATTAGGGTTCGGACTGTGGAAGTATCTATTATGGCCTGTAGGAATTGTTCCTGTTTTGCTTGTTACATTGTAGAGATTATAACACACAGATATTTTTGATTTAATATGCACCTTGGTATTTGGCATCTGTACAAATATTTTGCAGTAGCATTTACACAAACAATATACAGTTGTAAACAAACTAACAAATCAGTGAAAATACTCGAATACCAACTACTGGGTGATGACACATGAGAAAAGAGAACTTGGAACGTGCACAAGCAAAGGATAATAAAGGTGTAAAATGACTGTACTTCCCTGCCTTGCAATACCCACTGATATCCAGAGATATTCTTTAGATAATATTTCCTGAGTTAAAATGTAATAATTATGTCATAATTAAAATAATGTGCAAAGTGTATTAACCCAACCAATCAGATTTCTCCTTTTCACCAATTTGCCATTACAAATCATACAAATCTGGTTGGCTGCTATAGATTACAGCTTGTGCATCACGGTCACTTTTCCAATGCCAAAATGACTTCTACTCATTTAGGTAAGTATCACAGTACCTCCTTGAGTGACAATTTGACAGAACTTTAAAGCATTTTGGGATGGAAAAGCAGCTTTAAAATGGACAGTTATATGATCATTCATCCTGCCAGGGAGATTGGATTACTTTCAGTCAGTGCCACATGGGATTTGACAGGCATTATGCTAGAGTGACACCGGTCACTTTGTCACTGAACAGACAGAATTCCAACGACTTCCCTGGCAAAAGAGCTCATCATAGTACAGACAGCTGCTCTCTACTTTATCCATCCCTCCCTGTCATTCCCATTGTCAGCAAGACCTCTGCTGTCTCTACAGCTCAGCCTGATTTCCACTATTGGTCACATATTCATCTAGCAATGTATGTATAAACTATTTCTCTTAAATCACCCTCCAGTTTCTTTCAGGGTTCCGGCACTCCATTGACAGCCCTCATATCTTCTCTTACCTGCTTATAGTAAAAGAGCTTCTTGCTGTTGCTGTCCTATTTCCCTTTTTGTGAGCTTTGCAGGAGGAGAAATGAGACCCCAAAATGCCAGAAACAGAGCTTGAAAATATGTAAATATTTAATAAAATTATGATACAATGTGTAGTTCCTTCCATCCCTTTAAAGATAACAGAATCCATGTAGGGTTTTAGCTACCAAGCCCTGGTGGAGTGACCCTTTAAATAGAACTGCAGAACTTTAATCCTATCGCCTGTAACAAACCCATTGTTTCTCATTATCCATGCTGTCATTCCAGCCAGCTCGGTCCCCATTGTGAAATGTAAAAGTTAAACTCCAGCTGCACTTCTGGCAGTCCGGAACGATCCCTTTTGATCATCTTCCATACGCTACCAGCTAATGAAACTGAGGAAGCTACTTGGACGAGGGGCGAAACGTCGTCAACATAGGGACAAGTCCACTTGAATGTAACTAACTACCACTAGCTATACCACCAGCTGAATAAATGAAAACCTGGGCAGACAGCTAACTGAACATCTATGGTTAGACTCCACAATAGGTTTTCATGGTAATGCTCAGATATGTAGAAGAGGGAAGCCCTTTGGTGGCCAGTAGCCCAGCATGCTATCACCTACCTGCTGTGTAGATTGCAGTGCTTGCCTGAAGGATTAGCACAGATCTCCAAATGAATTCTGGCATTCTGCTGCTGGTTATCCCTTCATCGCACGAAGGCTGGAAGACAGCTAGATCCTCATCAACACAAAAATAGGTTGTGAGGGGGAAAAAAAGCGAGCTGGTTCCTTAGAATGAGGCTAGTCCGAGCGATGTGCAGCCTCTTTACATCTGCTGGAATTGCCGAATAATTCTCAACAGAACTCTTCTGCTCCCACTATCTAAACTATGAGCTGTGTCTATGAATGTTCCGCTCCCAGAATAAAGCTCCCGCTTACAGATTCTCCTCTCTGCTCCTCCTTGTCATTTCTTCTCTCTTCTCCCAGTGCACTCCCCGGCTCCCACACCCTCCTCTCCTCTCCTCCTAGAATATGCTTATTTCATTCACCCTCTTCCCCTCGTTCCGTTCCCCGAACATAATACATGTCGTTTCCGCCGGTCTGCCCTCTTTCCTGCAATCACTATCTGCTCTGATCGTTCCGTGATTTCTGCTCCATTTTCCGCTACTTTTACCAACAGAAATTCGTTTCTTCTCTTTGGCTTTAGAGAACCCACTTTATCTCCTAAAGATTACTGAAAGGGCTCAGTGATGCCACAGAGACCAGGAGATCTCAAATCATTTGTGTAATTCTCAGCCCCGGAATGCTGAGAACCGAATCAGTGGCAGATGGATAGATAAGATAGATAGATATTTGTAGATAGATAGCCATAATAAAATGAAGTAGATAGATAGATAGATAGATAGATAGATAGATAGATAGATAGATAGATAGATAGATAGATAGATAGATAGATGGATGTTGGTAGAAAGCAAGTTGGATAGCCAGAATAAAACGAGATAGATGGTTGGATGGGTGGATAGATAGATAGATAGATAGATAGATAGATAGATAGATAGATAGAGAGATCGAGATAGATAGCCAGAATAAAACGAGATAGATGGTTGGATGGGTGGATAGATAGATAGATAGATAGATAGATAGATAGATAGATAGATAGATAGATAGATAGATAGATAGGGAGACAGATGGTATTACCATAATTATTTCATCAAGATAGATACATAGACATGAGATAGATAGATAGATAGATAGATAGATAGATAGATAGATAGATAGATGTTGGTATAAAGCAAGTTGGATAGCCAGAATAAAATGAGATAGAGATAGATGGTTGGATGGATGGATGGTTAGATAGATAGATAGATAGATAGATAGATAGATAGATAGATAGATAGATAGATAGATAGATAGAGATAATAATAGAATGGTAGATTGATAGGAGAGTGGTATATAGCAAGATAGAGAGATAGATAGATAGACAGAAAGATAGATAGAAAGATAGACAGAAAAAAAGAAAAAGAAAGATAGATAGATTAAGGTATGATGGCGATAGATAGATAGATAGAGAGATAGATAGATAGATAGATAGATAGATAGATAGATAGATAGATAGATAGATAGATAGATAGATAGATAGATAGATAGATAGATAAAGATAATAATAGAATGGTAGATTGATAGGAGGGTGGTATATAGCAAGATAGAGAGATAGATAGATAGACAGAAAGATAGATAGAAAGATAGATAGAAAAAAAGAAAAAGAAAGATAGATAGATCAAGGTATGATGGCGATAGATAGATAGATAGATAGATAGATAGATAGATAGATAGATAGATAGATAGATAGATAGATGTTGGTAGAAAGCAAGTTGGATAGCCAGAATAAAATGTGATAGAGATAGATGGTTGGATGGATGGTTAGATAGATAACAGATAACAATAGATTGGTAGTATAATAGGAGGATGGAAGAAAGAAAGAAAAAGATAGATAGATTAAAGTATGATGGCGATAGATAGATAGATAGATAGATAGATAGATAGATAGATAGATAGATAGATAGATAGATTAAATAAATAGATTGAAATAGAAAGAAGGAAAGAAATAAAAAGATAGATAGATTAAAGTATGATGACGATAGATAGATAGATAGATAGATAGATAGATAGATAGATAGATAGATAGATTAGATACATAGATTGATATGTGGATATTAGATAAATAGGATGACAGATAGATCTAGAGACAGTTGGGATGACTGTATATCTTTTAGATAGATAGATAGATAGATAGATAGATAGATAGATAGATAGATAGATAGATTAGATAAATAGATTGATATGTGGATATTAGATAAATAGGATGACAGATAGATCTAGAGACAGTTGGGATGACTGTATTTGTTTTAGATAGATAGATAGATAGATAGATAGATAGATAGATAGATAGATAGAATGACTGCATTTCTTTCATCAGATGTTGCTGTATGCTCATGCTGTTACTACAGTAATGCATGTTTATTGTAAGAATAAGAGGAGCAGCTAGGCAGTTTATGTGTGCCTTGTCTTTATCATTCTGCTCTATGTCTCATTATTTGTTGTAGAGTAGAGGAGCACCTCCTGTCCCAGGAGAAATAAGGGGAGGGGTGATGGTTGGTGATGGTTGAGGCTGCTGCTCTATAATCCTGTTCTACTATAAAGCCTGCACAGTACAGAGGCTACTACTCTTTAATTACCTAAAAGTAATAGCACTATATCCTAGAAAAATATGACATTACTGGGGAGGCAGGTGGCATTCAGGCTCATACCGTTGCACAGTGGCAATGAATTGTGCAGTGTGCTTAATGTATTTAGGAAAATGTAAGTGTATCAGGCAATGGAAGCCAAGTAACAGTGAATTTAAAACATAAGCAACTGGCTTCAGTAAAACACTGTAAAGTAGTAAAACAGTGTAGACCGGCTGTAAGCTCAGGCAAGATATTACATCACTAATGAAGGAAAACGGCCAGATACTAGATGCTCCAGATTTTCAGCATCACTTCTGATTATCAGTAGTTTCACCATGGGAAATGTTCCAACTTATTAGAAAACCTTTTGCGTAGCCTGATTCCTTATTGTGCATTGGAGTAGAGGGAAGAATCAAATCACTAGTGCAGGGGTCAGCAACCTTAAACACTGAAAGAGCCATTTGGACCCGTTTCCCACAGAAAAGAAAACACCGGGAGCCACAAAACCCTTTTGACATTTAAAATGAAGATATCACTGCATATATCGTTTTTTACCTTTATGCTATGTATATAGCTGGACTCTGGGCTTAGTAACGCGCTGGACTCTGGGCTTAGTAACGCGCTGGACTCTGGGCTTAGTAACGTGCTGGACTCTGGGCTTAGTACCACGCTGGACTCTGGGCTTAGTAACACGCTGGACTCTGGGCTTAGTAACGCACTGGACTCTGGGCCTAGTAACGCACTGGACTCTGGGCCTAGTAATGCGCTGGACTCTAGGCTTACCTGAGACACCACAGAGCCCACCTGAGAGTGACACTGCAGAGCACACCATAGATCCTTCACAGCTCATCTGGGACTCTCTATGGTGGGCTCTGCAGGGTCTCAGGTGGGCTGGTCGCCAGGGTCCCTTTCCTTGTACCTCCTCCCAACTGCTCTTACCTGCTGCTGCTGGGACCTGGCCTCTTCCACCCACTCCCCGTCACCTCTGCCATGCCGCCCCTGGTACAGCTGATACTCATGTAAGAGGCCCCCCCGGAGGCCCAGACCCCTCACATGGGTACCGGCCGTACCCCCCTGATGGCGGTGTTCTATAAAAGTTTGTGACTACGTTACAATGTGTGAACGGTGACGTGGTCACACATTTCAATGTAATCCCGCCCAGTTTTTTGGCGGAGGAATGTGTGACCGCCAATAGGTCATGGTTCCAACGCTTTCTCAGCTGTTCCAGGTTAGATCGGCATAGCTGTACAGTAGAACTGATCTGCCCTGGAACAGCTGTTCGGTCCTGAAATGTCACTTCTATCCGACCCTGTGAGTGCGATCTCACATTCCACCCCACTCACAAAGTTGGATTAAAGTGACATTTCAGGACCGAACAGCTGTTCCAGGGCAGATTAGTTCTCCTGCACATATGATTTGCAATGCCGATCTGCCCTGGAACAGCTGAGAAAGTGTTGGATTGGAATGCTTGACCTATTGGTGGTCACACATTGCACCGCCAAAAAACTGGGCGGGATTACATTGAAATGTGTGAACTTCGTCACCGGTCACACATTCCAACCTAGTCACAAACGTTGATAGAACAGCGGCCCTGTCTAATCATTTAAACAGAGAAATAGATTATAATACTGAACATTACAGTGTAATGTTCCCCATTATAATCCACTTTTCTAATTAAATAAAATAACAGCACACAGTGTGCAGTTACAACCGTACCACCCCCCTCCCCCCGCTCCTCATTCGGACTCACCTGCCAAGCTTCACAGCCAGCATCCCAGCCAGATGGTGTGCACTGCAGGGAGCGGGGCATGTGACACACACTTCTCATCTCCTGCCGCCTGTTACTAGGGACGCGGCTGGGAGAGGAGGTGAGTAACAGGACCCGCCCCCTTGCTGAGAAGCCCATCGGCAGTGCAGGGCCCCTTTGCACTAAGGGAACACCAATGTCCTCCTACCTTTCTAAGTGCTCCTTCAGTGTCACCTACAACTCTATCTCCTCTTCCTCTTTCCATAGACAGGAGCCCCCCGAGGCTTTTTCTTTGGACCTCTTTTATTCTGTATCTACACCTCCTCCCTTGTTTATCTGACAGCCTCTAATTGTTTCCAACACCCACATCTATCTCTCAATTCACCCCCTAAAGTGAC